TTGCCATCCTTGAAATTCCCACAAGTATTACATGTCCTTACCTCTCAGATATTCTGTCTAGGTGATGAACACTGTTGAAATAGTACTCGAGACTCCTCAAATTCCTAGTTTAGTCAAAAATCCCAATACTCCCTGCTTTGTTAGGCAGACATCTGCAAAATTCTTTGAGGATAAATTCCTCAGAACAAAGCTAATTTTTGTTGAAGTGTTTCTTGGAACTGGAGTACCAGGATTGTTGTTTGGTACAACCCAGACAACCAAATAATCTATGAATAGCCAACTCCAGTGAGAAATGAGCATGGGCAAGCTTTATGGTTTAGGTTAGCAAAACATAGGAGCTGTTAGTGCAGTCAGTGTTTTTTAATGGCACTGATGGGCACGTTGCTAACCTGCTGTGCTAAAGTCATCTCCCAGTCATAGTTGTGTGGGTACTGAGGCAGAGTTTGTTTCTCTGTGGGCTGTGCTGGTCTCTTGCTTAGTATCATGCTGGAGGTTCTCAGATTTTTCTAAGAGGCTGTGGAGTGAGCAAGGCAGAGCTGGAGAAGTGAGGGTGCTGGCTGCATTTTGGCTTACAGGTAGGGAGAAATCCTGGCTACTGTGTAAAGGTTTTCAGGCTGTGATGACTTCAAAATAAGGTTTCTTGTAATTCGTGCTAAGAAACACTTAGCATATCATAATTAAGCTATTAAAATGTCCTTTCTGTGATTGGATAAGTTAAGGTATAAAAGAAATGGCTATAATGCCTTCATGTACAGAATAAAGGGCCCGCCCTTTTGTACATGCCTGCATGTACAGAAATGTTTCTGGACAAGTGAGGTTTTAATAAAACCCCAGTTCGGTCTTTAAATGTGAATTCTCGTTTTTCCCCCCACTTGTATGTTTATCTTCCTTGCTTGACAAGAACCTTCTTGAAGTGTGAGGCATAACTATAGGGACTGCATTTGTTTTCTTGTGGTCAGTTAAAACAACAAAACCAAACAGATGTCCCCCAAACTTCCTTCAGTGTTATTTTTAACATGGTTTAACTTAACTGCTCGACACAGATAATATATTGGTTAGGAGGAGTAGCAACATAAACAAGTGGAATGACTTTGGTGCAGTGTTTTTATGTGTGCATTACTTGGCTTCCTGTGCACCTGAGCTAAACAAGTTCCATTCCTGCATGAAACTTAAGTTCAGCAGCAAAACCAGTATTGATATATAATCATTGTGAAGTTCATTATGGTTGTTTTAGATATTGTCCTTTTGCCAGAATTTTTCTGTTCCTTCTCAATTAAGCTGTTCCTAAGCATGTTTTGAGTTAACTAGACTGAATTTATAATTAATTGGATGGAGTTATACTTAGATAGTCTGTAGGTGGCAACCTCTGTTAGAGGCATGGTATAAGATAAAGAGAATAGTAACATCATGGCTACTTAACCAGTGATTGTCAGATTAAGGCTTGATCAGGTATCTCTTTCTAAGATGCCATACACTGTCAGGACCACACCTCTGTTAATTTTTTTGTTTTTCAGAAATATAAACTAATTGAGCCCTTTGAGTTATGAAACACTGGAAGCACCTGTAGTTTTAACTTCCTACTTGTCATATGAGAGCTTAAAAAAGAGGCTAACAACTTTGTAAATCACTCTCAAGGTGCAGGAATTTTGATGAAAGATAGCAAACAGCTAAAACCGTGCTTTATATCATGAAGTATTTACAGTCTTCAGAAAAGCATTGTTTGCAACAAAAGTGTGAAACTTGGAACAAGACCGTTCCTGGTATGCAGTTAGGAGGTGGTGAGGCAACAGCGAGAATTCTCCTTGCCTATGTAAAATTGCCCCCAATGTCTGTTAATTTCTTCTGCTCATTTGGTAAGCATGGTTTTATGTACACTGCTCTAAATTAATCAATTTCTGCATGTTTCAAAAACAAATACATATCCCACATGTACTTATATACATAATTCTTTATTTATAATCCACCTGATTCAACAGTCCCCCTCTTTTCTAGCTATTTTAAAATCTGATTTAATGCAGATGAAAATGAATGTATGCGGGTGCTCCTCTGCATGGCCTGGCCTGCTATAGGCTGAGTCACATGGACACACTGCGCTTGCAAACAGAGTGAGCACTCCTCTTTAACATGCTTTAAGTATTTTTTAGAGCAGGATAAAAGTGTTAAAGTAATCATTGCGTGTTTTAACTACTAGATAAAATTAAGTTTAAAATATTTTTCTTGTTACCTACAACTAATTGATATTACCTTGAGGGAGAGCTAAACAGTGTTTTTCAGCTATGACTTACACCCACATATCTCTGCTGAACTCAAAGGGAAGATTCAGTGTTATAAGAGATGCAGTTTTGCTTCTTGGTGATTGTTGTGGAAGAAAAGTCAATTTAATCTCAGATTTCAGGCCAAGCTTGCCAAGCCATTAGGGGATCTATTGCTATATCTGTGAGAAGAAATGTATGGCTTCTGGATGTTCTTGGTACCTGAATATTTGGCAGCTTTCAGATTTTCCTACACTATATTTCTTTAATTAATTTCCTGTCACACAAACTTAATTTAAAAGAAATAGCTAAAATTCGAGCACCCAAACTGAACATGCATTGCATTTGATTTTAATTCTTTATGAAGATACAAATTCTTCAGCAAAAATAAACAATACAGTTAGTGAATTACAAAGCTGAGTATTAATTTAAATTACCTAAAAAGCCTACTTTAAGAAGCCTTTGAGCTGTGATGCTGTGTAGTAATCTGTTTTGTAGGGTTAAATATTGCTCCCCACACTGGTGTATGCTTGTGGTCAAGGCTAATGTCTTCTTGCGCAGCGAATTTTGCCTGTCAGAAGTTTGAGTCACTGTACTCTAGAGGAGGTGTTTCTACCTGGGCACAGCATAGCTTGTCAACCTTTTGTTCACTTATAGGCAACACTGAAAAAAGTGTTAAACTTTTGGGTATGTGCCACTTGGGTTATCAAAAAACTGTCCTTGAGTGTCACCATAAGCCCTCGTAGTTCAGAAGGTCCCAGTAATTGCTTCCAGTAAATTTTCTGTATTTATGTGTTGCTATAGCCTCTTAGTTCATTATAGTTTGGTTTGTTTCTTTTATTTTTCTTTTCCTGTGTACTGAGAAGACAGTATATGTGTAATTAAATGATTTTATAAGAGAGTAGAAAGGTGAACACAAAAATGCCCTCCTCTTTATATCATTTTTGTGTGTTTCAGCTTGTGAGTTTTTGAGAAGAGGGGTTAAGCATGGTACTGTACCCAAAGCATTTTTGGTGTAATTGAACCCCCTCTACCCTGCACTGTTTCAAATTTGAGATCTTGCTGAGTCTGTCTAGCAAGCAGACATGTAGCTGAGTTTTGCCTTCTGTGATGTTCATAACCTATAGAAAATTGATGTTCGTTAGTGTTTTGATAGTTAATACCTGTAAGGATAGGTTAGCATTATTGTAACTTTAGGTAGCATTTTTTTTTCTTCTGTAATTAAGCTATAGTTGCTTTTAAGTAAACTGAATTGGTTAGAAAGTGATTTTGTCGAATAACAGAATGTGTGTGTGTATTTATATAATTCATGTAGCTATGGAAAACTTCCTTTCTTTTCCACATTAATGGCTCAAAAAAGTGGCATCTGACAGAAACAGTGTGAGGCTGCTTTAGATGTCTCTAAAATTGCCCTTCAACATAAGACAGCCTGAGTAAAATCATTACTGTCTGAAGAAAAATGATTTGGTTCTTTTCTTCCCTTGCTCTAGCTTGCAGATCTTCATAGGATATATCTTCCAACCAGTACATGAGATGTAGTCGGGAAGGGCTGGGTGTTCAAGGAACTGTTAGTGGTGTGCTTTTACTTGGAGACTTGTTTTGCAGCGTAGTAAATAGCTTGAGGCCTCAGCAATTTTTAAAAAACCTGTTCTTGAATCATCTTCATACCTGTATTCCAGTACTTAATTGCATTGCTCCAGCCATGCTGCATTGTCTACCTGGTTATCATTTCGCTGCTGCTCATCAACTTCTGCCCTATCATTTAAAGCCCGAGGCTTTTTTCATTTCTGAACCTAACAGCTGATCATCCTTATGTTCTCTGCCGGGTAGTTGAAATGTCTCTTGTCAGCCTTTTTATTTGAAAGCACTGAATATTAGCTGGCTGGCTAATTGGGAAATTGAAACAGTCTTTAATGAATTGGGCAAAGCCCACTGGAATTGTCTGAGAAGATAGTTGTGCATTTTTTGGTGCACGTATTTGGAATCAGTTTGTTAATTCTGAAAGCAAGTACTTTTATTAATATTAAGAACTGAAGATGCTGCAGTCATGCCTTCCTTTTAAACCAATAAGGTATATACTATTGAAATAGTAGCTGTGATTTGTACAGCTCCTATTTGAGGGAAACTGAAAGCATGGAAACTGTTGCGTTGCAGCTTCAAATGACAATGTCCATCAAAGTGCAATTTTTCTCTTTCTGTCCTTGAGTTCTGACAGCGTCGTGAGAAAGCGTGTGGCTAGTCTTGTGCAGCATGTTGGGTTTGAAGGAAGACATGGCGACAAGCCAAGCAAGTGGAAATAAGTATTAACAAAAAACAAGTATTAACATTTTTATGCCTTAAGCTACTCTGCAGGGTTATGTGTTCACTACATTTTAAACAATTGTTTTAAAAGTAGCAGAATGGGAAATGGAAATAGCACTAGATCTTCTGAGTCTTTGCTGAAGGATGTTACTGCCGTGTCCCCATACATTCTAGCTGCTATGGTAACCAGTTAATGACAATCAGTAGATGGAGTTTAGACATTGTTATGTACATGAAGTACATTTTTAAAAAGTTATGTAAATTCTTCCATGTACATTTTCCACAGTATTAAGGGTTGTACTTTCTTTTGAAACTTAGATCAGCTGCATCCAAAAAGTATTAAATAAAACTTGATACAGGTGATTTTGCAGCATGTATACAAATTAGTTTAGATAAATCATGCATTGTCCTACAAACTAGTTATTTCTGGCTTATTGTAATATAGCTCCTGAATTTTTTCCAGCAGCATAATAAAATGGCTAATCAGGTGAATGGTAATGCGGTACAGTTAAAAGAAGAGGAAGAACCAATGGATACTTCCAGTGTAACTCACACAGAACACTACAAGACACTGATAGAGGCAGGCCTCCCACAGAAGGTGGCAGAGAGACTTGATGAAATATTTCAGACAGGTATAATATGCATTTCTTGTTTCTGATTGGTTATGAAAGTGAGGGCATACCATTTTCAAATTTTTATAGATTAAGATTTAAAAATTCATTGTTTTTGATCTGTGTAGCTCTGAATGTTTTGCTACTTTGATTTCCCTAAAGGCAAATTGGGTTTGACATTGACTAATTACTTGACACATCCTTGGAGTTGTATGTGATATCTTAGTTGCTTTAGGGCACAGAGCACTAGTTTCTCAGACGTCAAATGAAGATGTATGTTTCCACATACTAAACTGTACATTTTTTTTTTTCTTCAGTCCGAATCATCATTTTGCTTTTATGTTTCTACTGTCACTGTCACAGTGATTCTAAAACACTCAAAGGCTGGATAGGTGACTTAGTGAAGGAAGCAACTAGCTTGTCTTGCCTGGGACTACATTTGAATTGAGTCTGCCTGTGGATTTTTTGTTCTCTCCAGTTCTGAGTGGACAGTTTAATCCATGTTGGTTATTACACTGAAATGTTCAGCCTGACACTAACAAAGTTGAGGACTAAGCTATCTAGCAACTTGAGTAATACCTTGCTGGTAGCAAGTGGTCTCTGCAACTTCAAAAGAGGTTTCTTTATATTCAGAGGTTTTCCTATTTTGTTTTTACAACCACCCTATTTTATCTTATAGAGAGAGGCTTTCTTTTCCTTTTTAGAATGTGTTCTGTGAACAGATTTACAAGAAGCAGTAGAACTGCTCTATGTGCTTACCTTGAATGCCTGGGTGGCAAGATGACAGTTTTTGTTGAAAAGAGTTAAAATTACACTGATCAAGTGAAGGCAGTTCAAAGTCAATACCTTATCAATCCTCAGTGTGAAACTGGCTCATGTGGGTGATGTCTTTTGGAAGTCATTCACAGTGAGCTTTCTTCAAGCCTTTGCCAGCTTTTATTGGCTATAGAGATACACTTTCCAACTGTGAGTCATGATGATGTGCACTTGATGGTCTGAGAGAAGGTGTAAATAAATACCTGGGCAGAGTAACTCGTGGGGTTCTAACATGTGTTGCAGTTAGGTTGTGTTGTGAGGAGTTCTTAAGGAGTTTGAAAGCTTTTCAGCCCAGAACCTGACTACCAAATATAATTCCACTGCATGAGTAACCTGAAAACATTTATTTACACTTCATTAATGCCACTGAAGATGTTTGCATTGTGGAGGGGTTTGTCAGTGAAGCAGACTAGTTTTGACACTTGAGCCAAATTTGGGGTTGAATTTAGCAATTTTTTTATCTGCTGAAGTCTTCTATGAAAATACAGGTGCCTTCCAATATGCAGGATCACTTCTGAAATGTAGTCCTTGGGCTTGGCACTACTGTGCATTTTCAAAATCAAGTAGCAGTGAAATAATCCGCGTATTTTCAACATCAAGCTTTTGCAAAGTGTGTGGAGTTTTTGGTATTTGTCCTAAATTTGGATGTATGATTTTAAAAGTGTAAATCTCAGCCTATATGTCTGACTCCACAACTGATGCAAGTGGATTACAAAAGGAAAAAAAGAACAACCTTGTAAAGATCCTTAAAAAGAAAATGCTTCAGAACTGGTCCAATGTTTCTTGGGGGAGTCTGTACCTGTAAAATTAACATTAGCTTTTTCGGGTACATAGCAGGGCTAAAAATAATACCTTTTTGAATTCTGGCTCTTGGAACTGCATAGAGCAACAAAATTAGTTTAAAAAACACCAAACACTGTTTAAGATACACATGAAATCACTGACTCCTGGTTTTTTGAAGCTGGAGGAAAGAATGAACAAATAATTTTTGCTTCCTAATATTTTGTGGGGTAGAGCTTCCTAGGTATCGTCAGTTGGGTAGCTCCTTTTTCCCATACAATAGGATACTTGTAATGTTCACCTGTCAGTTTACTCTAGAACAGCTCAACTTGAGAGAAGGAAGTGTGGAACTTAAAATGAGGGCTAAATGAACAAAATTCAAATTACTAAAAGTGAGCCAGAGTTCATTGTTTCAGACCCTGGTGTGTAATACTGCTTTTATGCAGCAGATTGCATTCCTGAATGCTAGAAAACTGTTACACATGGGATATAATCTTGCACATCAGTTAGTGTTTAGGTATATACATTTTAATTTAACTTTTTCATTGTACCCATATTCTTTCATATACTTGTGTAGGAATATATAATTAAATGTATAATTCTGTTGCTATGGAATGTAACTTTTTGGCTTTAAAAGCAAAGTGCATAGTTCTTAGTTTGTATGAAATTCAACAGAAATCTGTAACTTCTTTATCTTTAACTTTTAGGCTTGGTAGCTTATGTCGATCTTGATGAAAGAGCAATTGATGCTCTTAGGGAATTTAATGAAGAAGGAGCCCTCTCTGTATTACAGCAATTTAAAGAAAGTGACCTGTCGCATGTACAGGTAAGGTGAGAGCCCCAGGAGTGTGAGCACATAAGTATAAATAGTGTCCTGGCACTACTGGCAGGAGAGTTGTAACTTAGAAATTTACTGATGTTGCTGTATTATATTTCAAACCCAAATAACAAGTCTGTTAAAAATTGCCTTAAATGTGTAGGTATTTGAGCACAAAGCAAAAGCTCCCAGATAATAAAAATATGCGTGCAATAGAGAAAATAGGTTAAAATGCTGTTTGAAATATAATGACTTTTTCAATCTGACAAGTTTATTCAATTAATTATTGTGTTTTCCTGAAGGATTCTTTTGACATTTGATTTATTGCATTGACTTGAAGTAGTGACTTCACGGAGTGTAAGATTCGGTGGTTTCCCAGGGCTTGTCATACACACAATTGAATTATTTTGTAAATTGTATCTACAGAACAAAAGTGCATTTTTATGTGGAGTTATGAAGACCTACAGGCAAAGAGAGAAACAAGGCAGCAAAGTACAGGAATCAACGAAGGGACCAGATGAAGCAAAGATTAAGGTAACACTGAGAGATACTGATTATTCTGTGCTAGCTGATACATTACTTGTGCATGGACTGAATATGAGCTTAAAAAGCATCAGTACCAACTGGATAAGTATATTCACACTTTGCTTTAAAGAAGTGTATGTATGATGGAGATTCTGTAGGGAAGGGTTGTTGGAAATGCAGCTCTTTCTCATCACACAGTTGCCAAAATTGTCTCAGTTGTTCGGTGTTCTGCACTTCATGGGGTGCGACATATAAAATGGAAAATAAGAGAAAAGAAAAACAAATGTTGTTCTTTATGATAGCCTTTTAAACCCACAAAACAACAGCGTTTTTTGTAGGTTCTGTCTCTTCAAATATACCTTATCAAGTGTGGCAAGGAGCACATAAAGAATTGCTTATCTTGGAATGCTCTTTTGTGTTCTGTAGATTTTATCCCACTGCCCTCTCTCTTGTACGTAGTCTGACTTTTTTTTTTCTTTTCAGGCTTTGCTAGAGCGGACTGGTTACACTTTGGATGTAACTACAGGACAGAGGAAATATGGGGGTCCTCCTCCAGATACTGTATATTCTGGTGTTCAGCCTGGCATTGGGACAGAGGTTGGTATATACAGATGAATCTGATAATTGCTTTATATACTTAAATAGGAAACACTTGAAAGTAAACTATATTACAAGTTTAATGTATTTTAGAGGAAAATATTCTTCTGTCTATGTCTTAATCAGTCTTTCTTACTTTTCAGTATTCTGAAAAAGACAGAAAGATAGGTTAAAGTGGAGAAAAAAATGGTGGAGTATACTAGGAAAGGCTATACAAAATTTCTTATAATTAAATTATCTTCAGGTTTCACCATAAAGTTTATAGTCCATCTTTTGAAAAGTGACCATGGATGCATGAGTAGGTAACATGTGACTTCGAGATATTTACAAGAAATGGAATTTAAGCAACACTGGCTTGGTTTCATGTAATGTGCTAAATATGAAAAAGACTTGGGTGTTGTATGAAGGTACTTACATAAAAAATTTTGAGCTGAGATTAGTAATAGTTAAGGATTTGTATATTTGCTTTTGTTTCAATCTATATGAAAAAATACTTGATGATTGTATGGATCAATAGTGAAACTAGCACAGCTACTGAAAAGAGACCATGTAGCTTCAGGTTTCTGGTTTTGTTTTTATCTCAGCATTTAGGAAGGTGACTTAGAGGTTGTTGACCAACTTAGTGATGTTGCCAGGGTGATTATGTGATGTATAAAGTTATTTGATTTCACCACGTCTCACTGACATAAAGAAGCATCTCTTTACTGAGAGGGTGGTCAGACATTGAACAGGCTTCCTAGAGAGCTGGTGGGTGCCCCAGGTTTGTCAGGGTTTAGGAGCATTTGGACAGTGGTTTTAATAGCATGATTTACCTTTTGGTCAGCTCTGAAGTGGAAAAGCCACTGGACTGGCTGTAGGAGGTCCCTTCCTACAGTGAGTTACTCTCATGACTGACAGTCCTCAACTACTGCTCTTAAGTATATTGTCCAGTGGTGGTTTGGCTCTTCAGGAGTTCACAGGAAAATTTAGGGGCCGTAAATTCAGCTGCATTTTCATACTATGAAGAGTATGTTTTTATATTTCTAAGTTTCCTGGAGCTAGAACAAGTAACTTGTGGAAACTCCCTTAGTGGAAATACTTCTGCCTTGAATCAGCTTTAGAAGCAATAGCAAACCCCAGCCAGCTAGTTCCAGAAATGATACCTCTACCAAATGAATGTATTGCTGGCATTTTGTGGGATTTAAGGACTGATTACTGACTTAGACATGCTGTTTGGTTTGACAGCCTGAGATACTGAATATGTTGCTGAAACTGGTGTATGTTCTATGAAATGTAGACTTTAGCTCCTGCTGTTGAGCTCTGAGGCATAGCAATCAATTTAAACAGGATCCTAGGATGTGGTAGAGCATGTTTGCACATAAGTGATGAGATCATTGTGGGCACTTTCTGCCACAATGACACAGATGGGTTTTTGGTTTTTTGTGGGGGTTTTTGTTTCCTTTTTTTCTTAAGCTTTTGAGAACCACTTTTTGTTTGTTTCTGACACTTCTAATTATATAGTAGCATATATGCTCCTTTTCCAATGTTAGGGATAAAAAAAAAATGAAGTATTACTTTGGATTGTGACAGTGCATTTTTTCTGTCTGAAACTTAATTAAATTGTACTGAAGCTCTTGTAGCTTGTGTCAGCTCAGATATATTTATGCAGAATTGTCACTCATGTGACAATAATGGCAAACATTGGGTTCTTGAGGATACCCAAGTACTGTTACTGATCTGAAGATGTGTACTAGGTAGACTTCTTTCTCTCTAAGGTTCATCAGGCCTTTCTAATGTAAATATCTGTACACCAGCTAATTTTTAAAACATAAAGTGGAATTAATTGCCTGTTAATTGTGGCTTTAGCTCTCAAGACACAGGTGAATATCTTGAGAGCTAAAGCTACATAATGCAATAAAGTATTAATAAACTGTTATGGGAAGCAGTCCCATGTATTTTTTGGAAGGGGATCAGCTTTAGGAGCAGTTGGATTTTTTTGGAATGTGATTCTGTAGAGAAATAATGAAGATAAAGTTACAGCTGTGCAGGTTTTAAGGAAGAAAAGAATGGCAATAGGATTTGTTATATAATGTGTTATTTTGTATTTCCATAATATTATATTATACACTATACTATTATATATATTATATAATACTATATAATACAGTATTATATAGTATTACTACAGTATAATGTTCCTTTTACTGAAGGACTTGCTGCTCCACTGTAATATTTTGCTTATAGTGAGGTCACATGATGTTGATGCTATGTATTTGGGGTGTGTATTGATGAGAATAAAAGCAGTTATTTGGGTGTTTCCTTCTCTCATTACACTCACTTTGTCCTTTGCATTTGCACACATTGATAACTGCTTATCCACAGGGGCTTGTGCATTGCTCCTTTGTTATGCTTTAAATTTCTATTACCTTTGTTTCTCTGCCTTTTCTTACCTCATGTTACACCTACTGTTCTTTTTAAAGTTAAATGATAGTTGGAAAAGTTTCAAGGACTTTAAAATGTTTTTTCTTTTTTCTTTCCAAAGGACGAAGTCTAGTCTTTAAGCAATTATTTGGAAATTTATGGTTATAATTGAACCTGCTCATCTTCCTAGCAAGCTGCGAGCAAACTTAGGTTTGGTTATGAAAATGCTTGAACTGTGTATTTCTTCACTTAGCTATTCTTCGAGGTTCTAGTCCCTAGCAGGTTGTTTTGTAATACATGCTCAACACTTTAAATACTGTCACACTGCTGCATGTCTGATACAGGAGTTCTTTCAGAGATTTTTCTATAAACCACCATACTGGATTTGAGAATGGTCAATCTCCTTAATGTCTTTCAATTTATAGATAAGTTTTCCATTCTTTGAGATGCTGAAGCTCTTGTGTTTATTGTCAAGAAGATGTCAAGAAGTATCACAGTAAGGATGATTTCTAAAGGGAATGTTCATATTCCATGAAGGAAAATTAATTCAGTAGTGGTGGTAAATAATTAGAATGAAACCTTGAACTGAAAGATGATAACTGATGCGTGTAACTTCTCAGTCTCTGCTTAGGTCTGTGTGCTCTATGCTGATTGAGATTTTGTCTTTAAAAGCTGCAAATTAGTTAGAATTAAGTGTTCTAGAAGTAATGACAATGTAAATACCTATCTAGATGAATACCTTGAGCTTTCTAGGGAGATACTGGGGAAAACCTTTTGGCTCTGCCATTAAACTTTAACCTAGTGTGATAAATCGGATCCTTTCTTTTTTCCCCAATAAGTAATGTTCAGTCAACAGTCACACTGAACTGACGGGGTAAGCTTTTAAGAAATGTTCTGGAAAGTGAATTTCAGGAATAACTGTATAACGTGAAATATCTAGAAGTTCTACCTTGTTCTATGTTTTTCAAGTTAGTCATATTCTCCTCATGAGTTTGTTATATGCATGCTTACATGGGCATGCTGAGTGTCATTAGTTCTGAAATTCTGCTATGCCTTCAGTGTGAGGTACAATTATGACAAGGCCTTACTGAGAAGGGAAGTGTTGACTTGTGGCTTTTTTTTCTACAAAGAAGTTAAAATAATATATTATTTACTATTATTATATCTATTACTGTATAATAATATATATCAAAATGACATATAGTATTATAATGTATTATTTATTTATTTAGATCTTAATGGATTCTTGGAATATTTGTTAGTATTAACAAGGAAGAGGGTTTTAAAGTTCAGAGGAGAGCTGCAGTGATTAAACAACTGGGAGGATCTTTCTAGGGATCTCAGCTAAAGATATTAGCTCCTTAACAAAACTTAACTCAAGTTAATTTTAAGGAACAAAACCACATGACCTTGCAGGTTTGCTTAAGTAAATATTAAACATTCAGTTGGTGGAAGCAGAAACAAATGCAGACAAGAAACAAGAGTACAGTATATAGTAAAAGTGGAAAACATGCATCAAGCAATTAAATGGAAATTATTATTAGTAAATTATTTTTCCATCTCTGTGGCTTTCCAAGGAAGATTAAATTAAAGAGTTACTTGAAAATACTGCAAGAGCGAGGAAGTGCTTGGCCTGCTTTAAGATATGATACCAAATTAGATGGTCTCTAAGGTCTTAGCTTTTAATTGCCAAAATTAATACCAGGTAAGAACCATTTATCTCTTCAGCAGGGGAAATTCACAGCCTTTTCAATATAAATAACAAATCCAGGATTTCTATGTGTAAAACCTCATACAAATGGCAGGAGGATTAGAGCACTTGGGACATACAATAACATCAGCTGTTGTGAAGACTGCACTGGTGACTGAAATGTTTCTGCTCTGCTGGTTTATCTGCATTGTTCTTCCTTTCCTAGCAATCTTCAAGTGGTAAAAAGAAGCTTGTATTTCTGAAAAAGCTTTGTTTCAAGTATCCTCTTCCTTTTTAGGTTTTTGTTGGTAAAATTCCCCGAGACCTTTATGAAGATGAATTGGTACCACTCTTTGAGAAAGCTGGTCCAATTTGGGATCTGCGTCTCATGATGGATCCTCTTTCTGGTCAAAACAGAGGTTATGCTTTCATTACCTTTTGTAGTAAAGATGCAGCACAAGAAGCAGTCAAACTGGTGAGTTAACTTAATTCCAGACAGGTCAAAACAAAGCAAACAGAAAACATATTGGTAATTTCTTAAGTAATGAAGTCTTTAAAGCATCCATTGATAGACTCAAAATTTTACTTTTTTAAAAATTGCCTCCTGATTTCATTAGTAAGTACAGATACAATTTACAAGACTGTTATTTGTTGTACTTTACTGTGGGCGATCAGAGCACTTAGTTGTTAGGAGCCTACTTGATTCCAGCTAGAAAATACATTTTTGAAGCTTCAGTGTGTTTTAAGTTTCATCACCCTTTCTACTGTAAAGAGTTAACTGGAGATGCCTTGTTTAGCTGCTGATGCCATGGAGGAGGTCTCTGAGTTAGTTCCTTCAGTTGTTTCCAGTGGCCTTTTGTTCTTTCCAGTCATGCAGTCTCACTGCTCACTGTTTGGAAGCTGACATGCATGCACCTAGACAATTTGGGATAAGACATGGAGCAATAGGGGACTAAAGGGTGAGACAGCAGTCTGATTGGGGTCTTGCCTCTGCCTGAGAGGAAGAAGTAGAATTAGGCAGATTTGGGTTTATCTCCCAAGATTTTGAATATGGGTATGAAATACTGTGTATACTTTGAACCAAAACAGGTCAAATGCCTAATCTCAATTGCTTTAGTGGAATTCAGCTCATCCCGAATGAGAGATGAAGATGAGGGATAAAATCTGAACACCTTAGTTGAGCTGGTGGGAGCAGGGAAACCTGAAACCTGGAGAAATGTAAAAGCAGTTAAAACCACATGGGCCTTTTCCTTGTGTCAGCAAGGCACCAGTGGGAGTGGGATTGATTGTAAGCAAAATGGCTTTGTGTAAAACACAATGTGAAAAGCACATTGAGGTTAATAAGTTCATGGCACCAGAACAAAAAGCTTTGCTGTGTTAGGAATCACTTAAGTATGTGAAGCAAATTTCTGAAATGCTTTTGTCTTCCTTGGAGTGATCTTGTTTGATAGTCTGTGGGTACCTTAGGATTTTTCTAGAATATGAAGAAGGTTCCTGAAGGTATTGCTGTCATTTGTAGGGCTTGCGTATCAGCTGGAATTAGAATGGCTAAAAACCTGCTTTTAAAGAATTGCATGCAATTTTCAGAAGCTGGCTGATGATAAAACATCCATCCTCTTTGCTGTGTTTGAAAATCCTGACTAAAACAAAGACTATGTCTATCTCTTTTTTCTTGTTTGTTTTTTTTAAGGCCGAATTCTTGTACCTTTAAAGGCCTATTGGGAGTCTTGGTTTTCACAGTAATCCAGCTGTGGGTACAGCCATGAAACAGTGGACTAGGTTTTTTTTAATTGAAATTTTAAATCTTGACAGTAAAATTTTTTAATCCTATCATATACAAAGACAAAAATTGCCTGCTATTGGGGGTGGGGTAGAAGCCAGGTCACAGAGTGATGTAGACTGTTGATTGTCTTGGCAAACCTTTTCAGTGTTCAAAGCTATCCAAGAAAAGAGGAAGAGCTCCCTGTATCTTTAATGCCATGTATTTGCTTACTGATAACAGCAGCAGCAGCAGTTGACTGACAGCAGAGGAAGCAGTAACCAGTTGCTAGAAAGCTCTTTCAAGTCTGAGATAAACAGTAGGTGAATTTGTATACGGTCCCATGTTGTTACTGTTACTGCAGGTTTTTTGTAGCTTTCCATTCAACAGGACTTTTGAAGTTTGTAGAAATCCTAAGGCACTGTTCTTCCAAGTGAATGCCAACACAAAAACAGCTGTTCTAGGAATTCTCTTGCAGTGCCAATTCAATATGCTATATGTAAAAGTAGTAAACAATGAAGATAATACCTGATTTTATGATTTGGGTATATTTTTATGCATAGTATTGTGGATAAAGCAAATGAATGGCTTTGTTTTTTCAGTGTGACAACTATGAAATCCGTCCTGGAAAGCACCTTGGAGTATGCATCTCCGTGGCAAACAACAGGTTATTTGTTGGGTCAATTCCAAAGAACAAAACTAAGGAAAACATATTGGAAGAGTTTGGTAAAGTCACAGGTAAGACTTAATGAGTCCCAGAATACCATTTAGCCTCTGTTTTATAGGTCTAGTTATTTGACTGATGTGTTCAGGTATCGTTTAAAATTATTTTCAAGTTGGATTCCAAGTTTGATTTTGTTACAAGTTTTATATATATACTATATCTTAAGGTGAAGTGTAAAGGGACTCGTGGTTGTTAAATGAATGATAATATAACTTTACAATTAGAAACACAAACAACTCAAATGAACTCTGAAAAACCAGCACACATGAGCTCAGTAAAAAATGGAGGTCCCAATTCTGTTACTTGTTTTAGCTTTCTCTTGAAGGCTCTGCATTTGTTACTGGATCTACAGGAGGTACTGCTGTCAACATGGAGAAGTTTTTTGGGGAGCCCAAAGCAAATGTATTCCTGAGCAGTGAAGGGACGGAGGGAATACTAAACTGGTTTAGAGGGAATATTATTAGAGAAATAGTTAATAACAGACTAATTTTTGTCCCAGGTTTTCAGCATTCTCCAATATGTGCAGCAAGTAGGAAGAAAAGAAGTCAGCTCATCACTGAAAGGGTGCTTCTGCTTTAGATAAGAGATTGAGTCACTTGCTCTTGTTCCTGTAGGAGAGCTTTAACCTCCTGCTTCTTTTTTAGGATTGCTATTTATAAGTATTTCAGGGAAGTGGTGAAAACAGAAGGTGAATATTCATTTAGTTCTCTCTCCTCTTTTTGGAGAGATGTGGAAGATGTTCCTTCTAGGTTCTGCAGGAGGCAGGGGAGAGGTCATGTGTTAGTGCTGGCTGCATTTCAAAGATGTAGAAATGATTTAAAAAGTATAGAAAACTTAAACTGTGTAAGTTGCTGGGGTTGATGTTTTGCAGAGCCTAATTTTGAGGTAAGTTTGTTCTGTAGAATTTCACTTACTAGGTGATGTGTTTCTGGATAAATTGGATGGATATCTATTTGTTTTGCTTTTCTTATGCTCCCACTCCCTTTCAGGTGTAAAATTCAAATTCACTACAAAACACAAGTGAAGGCATTTTAGGCTAGACTCTAGATTTTTTTCTTTCCTTTTGAAGCTCAGTACTAAAGATCTGTTTTTCAGAGGGTTTGGTGGATGTAATTTTGTATCATCAACCTGATGATAAAAAGAAGAATCGAGGATTCTGCTTCTTGGAATATGAGGATCACAAGTCAGCAGCACAAGCTCGCCGACGCCTGATGAGTGGGAAAGTAAAAGTCTGGGGAAATGTTGTTACAGTGGAATGGGCTGATCCAGTAGAGGAACCTGATCCAGAAGTCATGGCGAAGGTCAGTAAAGACTTCACTGGATGCTCTTGTGCTTTGGGAGGAATTTCTTTATGCCACAGTAACAAAGACTTTGTTCCAGCTGAACAAGGCTAGTTTTGAGGCACAAAAAGCAGTTAGAGGGCATTTTCACAGTAAGCTGTGCAAATGGTGTGGTCTGAGCACTGCGGAGGAGTTGCCATTGGAAGATGTTGGAAATGTTCTGTTACTTACTGCTGTTAACATCTAAACTAGTCCTGTGCAGGGTTATCCTGCTGGATTGGCACATCAGGCTGTGCATTTTCTGCTTTAGCTGTAATCAGTACCAGGTAGGTATTGCGTAAAACTATTTTCCAGAGTGACATGAAGGTGAAGTTCAGCGTGGGGAATGATGTGCACTTTATCCCAGTGTTTTGGGGTAACTCTTTGCTGTCCTTGAGGTCTGTTACTAAAATTTTGCTGGGATTTGTAGCATCCCAGAAGCAGAAAATCAAAGTTGGATATTCTTCTGGTTATGGAAGGGAACTGTGGAAGGAGAGAAGTTGTAGAAACTTCATGCAGGTAACTACAAGGCACTTTTTTTTTCTTTTCTTTTTTTTTTTTTTTTTAACAGATACAGAATTAGTGAAGTTACCCAAATTTCTTAATGCAACAAAAAAGGGAATAATATCTTGATAGTTTCCTTTGAGGTTTGACTTCTAAAGATTACAGCTTTGTTTCATTTTTTCTTTAACCAGGTTAAAGTTTTATTTGTAAGAAACTTGGCCACTACTGTGACAGAAGAAATTCTTGAGAAATCGTTTTCTGAATTTGGAAAGCTGGAAAGAGTAAAGAAGTTGAAGGATTATGCGTTTGTTCATTTTGAGGACAGAGGTGCAGCAGTGAAGGTAGGTTGATTATTCTTTCCTTGCTAAGTTGGTGAGAGCACTTTATTTTGTATGAATGGTTTTAAGAAATTTTTTTACAGTAAATACTTCAATAAGACAAACCCATTTGTAGACCCCATTTAATAAGGTTCCCATTGTGAGAATTTTAATGCTAATAATTTTGTTCCTATGATTTCAGTAGCTAGGAGGATGTGAAACTTGAAAGGACAAAACTGTAGCAAGTTAACAAGTAGACTGGAAAAGAGGTGTAGAGCAATGCAGGAGAGTCTAGAGAAGAGGATAAAAAAAAGATCAACCTAGACAATTTTTCTGAGGAAACACTGGCAGAAGGTATCAGTTACCTCTCAAAGACCCCCGTTTAAAGGCTCTGTGTAGTTTTGGAGTGACAAAAGTATCAAATAGAAAGTGGGAAGTAATTAAAAAATGCTTTGTGAAGAAGAGGAGAATGGTGTTGGCAGCTCTTTAAAAACACCTGTTTTTAACTCTGCATACACCTGAGCTTTCTTCTCAATGACTTGTTAAATATTGAAGATCATTACTGTAAGCTTCAGAGGGCTCTTCCTTTGTGTCCATGAGCTGTTGAGAAGGTCATTAATATCTTCTGTCTGTGCTTCAGTGTATTGAATTCTCTGAAAATTACTCCCATCTGTTTTTTAAATCCTTGGTTCATGGGGGAAGAAGGCGAGTAGGAAGTGGTTTTTACATTTGTGAGTCTTGAAGCAGATATGTTGTATATGGTGTATGTGGCTATGTGGACAGTTCAAAGACTCTGTACGCCTTATTAATGATTTTATAGCCATTTAGTTGCTTAGGCAATTAAATTAATTTTACTACACCCAAGATTAGGTTTTAGAATACTCTTGAGTATAGCTTTACAATGAATATCACTCTTAGTTAAGGTTGAAGTTGGTTTGGATAGGTTTAGGCCATGTCTGAGGGAGGACAAGAAATTGTTGAAACAAGGGGTAAGTCAGCAACACCTCTGGATGTGGTTTTCTGTAGCATGTCTATAAACACCCTCCAGCCCCTTCCCAGTACAATTACCTGCTAAATGCTCTGTTAGATTTCAGCAACTGGAAACTTGCAGCAGTTAAGAAAAAGACAGATCAAATGCATCATTAATGCTCATCTCCAGCTGCAAACTGCCACATATGGCCTATGTGACTGCTTCATGGCCACTTTTGGTGTGTGGGTGTGTTTTGGCTTTCAATGAGATTGTTATGGTATTTGTGTGTGGAATGCATGGAACTGGCTGATTGATTCAGGTGTCTACTGATTTTCATACCTTCTTGGAAATAAATTGCCATAATTTCTAATGCTTTTGAGCCATGTAGAGACATGTAGGGTCTTCATTAATGTAAATCTTAATAACCAAAAAAGTTTAATGCAAAGCAGATGAAACTTTCAGGTGAGGAGCTGGGGGTCTAGTCCTGATTGTACTTTTTGTACTAAGTTCTCTTTGTGGATGCATTTGATAGTAAAAAATTGCACATTCATTTTCTGGAGGATTCAGGGCTTGCTTGATGAGATCACCAGGTTTCAGTAATCTTTTTTGGTTTTTTCTCCTCAAATATGTGTCCTCAAGAACTACTTGATTCTCTCAGTCACTTGACTCACATTCAGCTACCTGGGAACCCCAAATGTAACAGTTCTTTCTCTTGTATGCATATGCTCTACCAGGCTTATAAATGTCAGTGTGAGTAGTGAGAACTTGCGTATTTCTGAAAGGTTTCCAGGAGATAAAAGAACATAAAAACTGATGGTCTGACTTTATAAAAATAATGCTTAATACAATTTAATCCTCTTTTTTAATCTTACGATACAAAGAGCATATTTTTTAAAGAAATACTGTTTCTCTGTAACTGGTAAATAAAGTGGGACTTGGAAAAGTGATGTGCAACATTCTGTTTATGTAGCACAAAAGCAAAGCACACGGCATAGCTCAGCCTGGAGCAGCCCAACTGTCTGGTTTCTTGCAGAAAGTTTTAGTCTCCTTTTGAATGGAAAAAAAATTTTAGTTATTTTTCTTTTAATTTTTATACAGGCTATGAATGAAATGAATGGGAAAGAGATAGAAGGGGAAGAAATTGAAATAGTATTAGCAAAGCCACCGGATAAGAAAAGGAAAGAACGTCAGGCTGCCAGACAGGCCTCCCGGAGCACTGCGTGAGTGTCACCCTCGCACCGTGGTAATGCTGCACATTGAAGTTGTGCTGGTTTAGAAGAACCTGAGTGACTTGACTTTCCTTCATGTTGTGTATTGTTAATTAACAAGGGCAAATGTATACTGTACTTTGGGTGGATTTTGGAGGTAAATAATTCCGCGTTTCTTTTTCTTACCAGGTATGAAGACTATTATTACTACCCTCCGCCTCGCATGCCACCTCCTATTAGAGGCCGAGGCCGTGGAGGAAGAGGTGGATATGGCTATCCCCCAGATTACTATGGCTATGAAGATTATTATGATGATTACTATGGCTATGACTATCATGACTACCGTGGTGGCTACGAAGATCCCTATTACGGCTATGATGATGGCTATGCTATAAGAGGAAGAGGAGGAGGAGGAAGGGGTGGGAGAGGTGCCCCTCCACCACCTAGGGGGCGGGGAGCACCACCACCAAGAGGTAGAGCTGGCTACTCACAGAGGGGGGCACCCATGGGACCGCCGAGAGGAGCCAGGGGGGGGAGAGGGGGCCCTGCGCAGCAGCAGAGAGGACGCGGTGCTCGTGGAGCCAGGGGCAACCGTGGGGGCAACGTAGGAGGCAAGAGAAAGGCAGATGGGTACAACCAACCTGATTCCAAGCGCCGTCAGACCAACAACCAGCAGAATTGGGGCTCCCAACCCATCGCTCAGCAGCCGCTCCAGCAAGGTGGTGACTATGCCGGTAACTATGGTTACAATAATGACAACCAGGAATTTTATCAGGATACTTATGGGCAACAGTGGAAGTAGACAAGTGAGGAGGGATTAAGAATATTGGAAACATAGAATTGGCTATAGCTCTACATCTTTCAAAAAAAAAAAAAAAAAAATTGGCTTAATGTTTCATCCTTCAGTAGCGATTGGCTGCCATTTGTATTGGGCTGAAGAATCACTCTATTGTGTATATACTCGAGTCTCTTAGTTTTCTTTTTTCATAAACGCACTTGGACATTACTGGGCTTGCAGAATTCCTGAACTCCATATGGGGTTTCAGTGCTTTTATCATTTTAGGCTTCATTTTAGCAGTTTAAAAGCAGGAATGGCACACTGTTCAATCATGATTTTGCAGAACCTCTGGTTTTGGACAGTTTCTTCTTTTTCCTTTTTTTTTTTTTTATTTTTAATTTTTTTTTTTTTTGGATTTGGGATAGACTACATAGGAGTATGCTGTACATAAAAGTAAAAGCTAGTGCTTTGTCTTAGTAGTTTTAAGAAATTACAACAAATTAAGTTTTCTTGTATTGAAAATAACATGATTGTATGTTTTGCATTCCTAGAAGTAGGATAACTGTGTTTTTAAATTGTTATAACTTCACACCTTTTTGAAAATCTGCCCTACAAAATTTGTTTGGCTTAAAACGTCAAAGCCGTGGCAATTTGTTCCTTGATGTGATTGTATTTCCAATTTCTTGTTCATGTAAGATTTCAATAAAACTCAAAAATCTATTCAAAACATTACCTATTTCAAATTCAATTGTGTCCTAAAACATTATTTCATTGGTAATTCTTGTGAAAAATACTGTTTTCAAAGTATAACTGCCTATGTGAGTGATCAAATTCGTGCAAAATTTCCTGTGCTTTCCAGCATGTAGCACTGTGGACATCAGACTGAAAACTAGGAGAAATTACAGACAGCCCAAAAGGCACTCACTGTTTAATTGCTGGTCAATAATTTATCAGCATCTAATTTTGAAAATTTTTTTTTTCCTATTTATAAGTGTTGAATTGTATCCAAGCATTCACAGAGATCAAATTTAAATATAAGTCTTCTAATGTAAAGTGGAGAAGGAAGCAGATCCTACAATGGTGTTAATTTTGTTCCTTTCATGATGTCCTGTGGAGTCCCTGTGGAGGCTGTTCTGGTAGGATCCAGCCTTTTTGTATAACTGAGCTTACAAACACACAGGGAAATTATTTTGATCTCAAGCATCTTAGTCTAATCTAAAATAATATTTGACTAGGAATCAGAATTACAACTTGGGTGCTGTGGCACGCTAAGCTAACCTCTTGCTACGGATAACACAAATGTGCTCTCCAGATTCTGCTTATTTCTATCTTGACATTTTAATTTGATGTTCTGCCATGATGAACAATTTGCCTTAGAATTCTCCTGCCTTATAATAAAGGCTGTTAAAAAGTTTAAGACTTTATCTTTTGAGGGCATTGCTAGCTACATTATATTATGTGTTGCTTTGACCCTTGTCTTGGACATTCCCAGATGTCAATTTTAACTGGCAAATCATGACATTACTCTTCTGTTGCATCTAAGCCATTCTGTACCCCAATGAAGAACATTTGCTTCTCAAGAAAAGAGAGAAACAAACGGATTTATACTTTCTCTAAAGAAAACTATTGCCGGACCTCTAAATATCCAAATCCAATACATTGCTCATACTTGATTTACAGCATTCCAAACACAGACTATTGAGGAAGTTAAACTTCAGTGGTCATACTCCTCCCTTTGTCTTCTATTCCTGTCTGGTGTCTCAAGTGTGTTATGTCAGAATATACCCAGTAAGATGAGCCTCCCCACACTGCTATGGATCTGGAATGGGATTGCAGGGTTTGAGTTGTGACCTGAATCGAAGATGTCTTTATCTCCTTCTCAGAAATGGGTTTGCCCATGTCAGGCTCTTCCAATTAATAGAATTGGTCATAAGTAGCTTAAAAGTGCTTTTTTAAAAAAATCAGTATCTAGTATGTTGGGGTTTGGCGTTATTTTTCCCCACTTCATAAAGTTAATGGGGCCAAGTCATGTCCTTCCTGTTTCTTACCTGAGCAGTGAACTCAGAGTGCTATTGCCTGAGTATACACTTCAGGCTTTGGCTTGTGAAAACGAGCTGGTTTGTAAATCTGTTTTAACACAAAAGTTTTGCTGCCCTATCTGTATGACTTTCTGGTAGTTCTACAGCTCTTGTAGTGCTTAGCAGAACCCTGTAGTCCCAATAAGTACTGGCTTTTCAGTATTCATTGTAAAGGGGATCTAGTGCAAGGAGCTTAATTGGAATCCTGTTTCAAGTCCTCTCCATTCCATCTTGGAAGAAGGTAGTTTTCCCATGTTGCACATGTTAGCCTAGGAGAGATGAGGTGCTAGAGTAAATCCTGTGGGGGGCGTGGGGAGGAAGTGAAACACCTCAGTTATAGTGATTACAAAACAGCTGAGAAAGAAAAAAGTTAAAATTGTCTTCCTCAAGAACTGTAAGGCTGAATCTTGTATTTACTTCTGCCCAAGTCACCATTTATACTAGTAAATATGAGGAGTGAGCTATGCATTTTTATAATTGAAAATCATAACAAACTCAGTAGAAGTTTATATTTACAAGAAATAAGTTCTTTGATTTACATGGTTTATAGCTTCTCAAATTCACCTTTTAAATTTGCAGCAGTACTTTTATTTAATCTTTAGATAAGGGGTGCTACAGCTTACTCGAATAGTGGTGTGTGCTGAACTTGAAGAACTTAATGAAAAGATGGAAAAAAATTATCAACCAAAGATACTGTAGTACAGTGGAAAACTACCATGCCTGACTCAAGGGAAGAAATTCTCAGCACAATTTTGACATCTAGTTAAAAAATAAATTTAAATTTACTCTTGTGCATTTCTTTTGATTGTTTCTTCAGTATAACTTAGCAAAGATCCTCTATAATATGTTGAAAATGGATTTCAACTTACACACCAATATTCAGCTTTTATGTCCTGCTGGCATTGGAGGAAGGAGCCATGAAATGGAGTTTTAATAATCATTTGATCACTCATTTATAGCAGTTGTTTAAATGTCTGTATTGATAAGGTGTTTGACTTAAGAAGCAAGTTACCAGATTCCTAGCAGTTCCAAAACTTGAGCAAAATACTTTTACAGCTACTGTGTTATTATATACTTAATTTCACTTTATTAACAAGTTAGTTTACTAAACTCAACTTATAATTTTACTATTTCATTCAGCATAGTTTGCATTTTTTCAAAGTGTTAAAGGTTTAATTTTTTCTAGCAATTGTTTAAATCTCAGCTTCTGTAGTCTGATTATTAAAGAATGACAACTGCATTGCTTAGACCTTTCCAAAATAAACTCAAAGTAGAAGATCACCGCATGATTTTGGTGACTCTGTATAAAAACCTGACCATTTTTTGTCCCTTCTATGTTTGGACATTAAGCCCATTTCTGTAATTTGAACTACACAGAAAAAAACAAACCAGAGGGCACTCTTATTATAAGGCTAGGAGGAAAATAAATGTTAAGTGCTGAACAAAAAGTCTTAAACGTCTCAAAAATATTTGGTGCCAAGACCTTTAGACCCTACTGAATGAATGTATTTTCAGCAAGACTTAATTGTTATCCAGAAATGCTGGTCGCCCATCCATAGAACAGCAAGGACCTATTCTAGAAATCTGTCATCAGCAATCTTTGATCATGCATGACTTGAGGTGGAGTATGTGTGTGATTAAGGATTGCTGGTATGGTGGATGTTGTCAGTGGAATTCTGTCACTCATGTGAACTACGTGAGTAGCTCAGAGCCTTATAGAAAGAGTGTACCACATTGTGTTCCTGTTTTTTCTAAAACAACAACAACAAAAAAGAAGTTAGAGCTTCTGTTAACTTAGAATTTGAATGAAGCTGTTGTAGTCTATTGGCTTAAATTGTTCTTTTGAAACCCAGAGCAGTTTTGTTGAGCATGTGTTGGTTGATAAAATGTGTAGAGTAGGGAGAAAAAAAAAATCACTTGTACTAAAGGGGAACCATAAGTTTTTGGTCTCATTCAAATAAAATAGTCAAGGTGGATCTGCGATACTTGGTTATTGATCAGGAACTTCTGAAATTTTAGAACAGGAGAATCCCTCTGAAGAAATGTTTTAACAACTTGGAGGTTACCAGAAGCTCTGAAAGACAGTTCAGAATATATTTTCTGATGTCCAGAAATCTGCAAGTGTCAATTTTGTATTTTAACTCCTTCCTTTTACCTGACTATCAGGGAAGCGTGATTGAGGCTGACCTGACATGTCATGATGTCGACTTGCTAGGTGGGGTTCGCAGGGGACATTAACCTTGGAGTTATCGGTAAGACAACTTTCTTTCTCATTTCCTTCAGTAAGGTGAAAGGGTTGGTGTGGGAGGAGGGAGGATATGAGCTCCACAGACCTGAGCACTGGAATAGCTTTCAAAATCTGCCATTACCATGGAAAGATTGCAATCGTGGAAGGTAACGGTTGAGGTTAAATTTGTCCATGTTCAAGAGAGGCGTGCCTGCCATAGGTTCTTGAAATTAAGTTGAAAATAAAGATGACTTGCACTTCAGAAGAAAGGTGGATGCTCTTTCAGGGGTGCTGGAAGCATAAAACATTTTAAACATTTAAATTTTTCCTCTCTAATTAAATCCAGGTATGGGTTGGATTTCTTTCCCCAACTGTGAAAAAGCAAAGAATTTGCAGCACACTTCTTCAAAGCTTAAGAATGCTGTTAAGAAATGTGTCCAAGTAGATCTCTGGAAAATAATAAAATTTTGCCTTGGAAATAACAAAAGTGGCATATCATGACTTTGCATCATTTACATATTGAACATGATAATGCTTAGAAGGCACTGATTGAGAATGGCTTTTGTACCAAGGGACAGTTGTAGTTGATCCCATTATGAAATCCCACTGGATTTTAATAATCATCTCTTTTTGTGGAGGGCATATGTTGATTCTAGACAAACAAATAGCAAAAGCTGAAGAACAGGTTTGCAAATCAAATACTTGGACATGTTGAATTCTTCATGGCACCTGCTCATCTTGCACCTTTCCTCAGCCAGCAGACTTGTCTTTTCCTGCTTGTACGTTCATGCAGTACTTGGAAAGGAGCAGAGAAGTTGGAAAAGCTTACTAGGCTAGAGGAGCATTCCAGGTGCAGTCATTGTTTACCGTGGGACTGAATAGCATGCCAGTTCTGACACCAACTGCAGAAGAAATGTGCCTGGTGAGTACAGGTATTTTGTAAGGATTTTTCAGAAATGAAGTGTTTGTTTAATTCCAGATGAACTTGACTCGGCATACCGCAACTTGAGAACAGTTATGATCACACAAAGTCATCAATGTTGTTTCACTTGAAAGATCATAAACAGAAAAAAGAGGATCTCTTTAATTCTGGATTTTCCAACCTGTGTGTCCCATAGAGCTGCTGATAGTGAGTGTAGTAGGATGTTGCACATTGTTAGGTAGCCTGTCTGGGAAAGGAAGCAGATGGCAGGGTCCTTACAGGAGAAAAAAAACACTGAATGGATCAGATTTTGCACGTGTAGAATTTGGAGATAGCTGGAAATAATTGGAATGGGACATGCTCCTTTCATAAAACATCAGTCTCTTATCGGTGAAGTTTATGAGTTTAAAACACAATGTCAATATACATATTTATGTGATCATGAGTTGCCAAATTGCATTAAATGAAAAAAAAAAAAAAAAAAAAAAAAAAAAAAAGAGGAAAAAAGAATGAAAA